CTGAGGTTTAGTGATATATAACAGGATATCATCAGCATATAATGATATTTTGCTTACTGTGTTCTTTGTGTTATATCCATGTATATTGGGGTTAGAGCGAATAGACTGTGCAAGGGGTTCAAGGGCGAAGAGTAGAGGGGATAGTGAGCAGCCCTGTCTAGAACCTGTATATAGACAGAAAGGAAGAGAAAGAATTATATTAGTAAGAATCCTTGTACATGGCTTGTGATAGAGAATTCTTATCCACTTTTCAAAATTATCGCCAATTTCAAATTTTCTTAGGGCTGCGAAAAGATAAGACCATTCTAACTGGTCAAAAGCTTTCTCTGCATCAAGAGAAACAATGACCAGATCATCTATGTGTGACTTAAAAAGATGTCTGAGATTTGAAGACGAGTGCCTATTAGGAATAAACCCTGTCTGATCGGGATGAATAAGTTTGTCCATTACAGAACTAAGTCTGATAGATAAAGCCTTAGCCAGGATTTTTTGGTCACATGGCAAAAGTGATATTGGCCTATAGCTACTTACTTCTACTGGATCCTTCCCTTTCTTAGGTAAGACTGTTATGATGGCTTCATTTAAAGTGGGAGGTAACCTGCCAACATTATATGCTTGAGTGTACATTTTGAAATAAACCCTGTCTGATCGGGATGAATAAGTTTGTCCATTACTGAACTAAGTCTAATAGATAAAGCCTATCACAAAAGTGATATTGGCCTATAGCTACTTACTTCTACTGGATCCTTCCCTTTCTTAGGTAAGACTGTTATGATGGCTTCATTTAAAGTGGGAGGTAACCTGACAACATTATATGCTTGAGTGTACATTTTGAATAGAGGAGGTGAGAGTAGATCGCCAAATTCTTTATAAAACTCACTGGAATAGCCATCTGGGCCAGGGGCTTTCCCACATTTCATTGTCTTGATAGTATCTAATATTTCTCAAACCGAGAGCTCAGCATTGAGGGCATTACGATCTTCCTGGACTAAGGTGGGAAGGTCACAACTGTCCAAGAAGTTTGACAACTAGATCATCATTTAAGGACCTAGAAGAGCATAATTCTTCGAATTGTTTGAATCTCTCATTGATATCATTGTGATGTTAAAATGTCACCATTTTCTGACTTGATTTTACTTATGGTTCGATCACTTTCTATTTTTCTAATTTGTCTTGCCAGCAGCTTGTGGGGTTTGTCACCAAATTCAAAAATGTTGTTGTGTGTGTATAGGAATCCTCTGATATGATCTGAAAGTATCTGATTATATTTAAATCTTAATGAAAGTGTTTTCTTAAGTCTCTATGGATGGATGTACAGCGTTTTCTTTATCTAAACAATTTATTTGCTGTTCCAGCTCTACCAATTTAGCTCTACCTTTTTCTTTTCTTTCTTGCTGCCTGCAGAAATAATACAACCCCTGATATAAGCTTTCATAGTCTCCCAAAGTATTAAGGGGGACGTTTCAGGGCGATCATTCATCTCAAAGAAAAAGGAGATTTGTTCTCTTATAAAATCACAAAACTAGTCGCTGGGGTATATTTTTAGCAATAGCCAAAAAAAACATTGTATGGGTCAAAATTATCGTTTTAGTTTTTTATGCCAAAAATCATTAGGATAATAAGTTAAGATCATGTTACATGAAGATATTTTGTGAATTTCCTACTGTAAATATATTAACTTAATTTGATTAGCTATATGCACTGCTAAGAACTTCATTTGGACAACTTTAAAGGCGATTTTCTCAGTATTTAGATTTTTTTGCACACTCAGATTCCAGATTTTTTAAATGGTTGTATCTCGGCCAAATATTGTCCTATACTAATAAACCATACATCAATGGAAAGCTTATTTAATCAGATTTACCCTTATGACTGTTTTTGTGGTCCAGGGTCACTATATATATATATATATATATATATAGTCTCAAATAAATGTGTGCAGTCGAGAGAATATCACTTTTGTGTGTAGATACTGATGATGGTTGGTCTTCCTGCTTGTGGTAAAACCACATGGGCAACTAAGCATGCAGAGATGAACCCACAGAAGAAATATAACATCCTGGGCACAAACGCCATCATGGCGAAGAATGAATGTAGGATTTATGGTTCAAAATTGAAAAGAAATCATGTTCTTGGTCCAAAAACAAGTGCAATCGAATGGAACAGATTTTTTTTTTTACTTTATTTATAAATGTGTGATTGTAAATAATTGTATAAAAATATATATTTTAATCTTCAAAAGTTTAGGCTCAGTAAGATTAAAACGTTTTTCAAATTCACGTTTTAAAAAGTTTTATTCAGCGAGGATGCATTGAATTGTTCTAAAGTGACAGTGAAAACATTTATAATGTTACAAAAGATTTCTGTTTTAAGTAAATGCTTTTTTAACTTATTACATATTAAAATAGAAAAGTTATTTTAAACTGTAATAATAGTTCACAGTATTATTGTTTTTCATTTATTTTTGATCAAATACATGGTGAACATAAGAGACTTATTTAAAACATCTTACCGACCCCACATTTTTTAACATGAGTGGATATTGCTTATTGTTATTGATAATTAACTGTTCTGGGCGCTGGGACATCCTGATTCAGCAGGCCAATCAGTGCCTGAACCAAATGATCCAGATTGAAGATGGAACTACATCTTGGATCAGGTACTGCAAACACATGATTCCCAGTGAAGACAACTGTGAATGAGCTCTTCTATTTATCTTTCAGGAGGCCACAATATGATTGAGTAGAAGAAGCAGCTTTTGATTGAATGTTGTATATTGCAGTGTCAGAAAAGGTATTAATGTCAAACATGTTCATTATCTTGCATTTCCAATTACATTTAATTGTTCTGTGAGCCTCTCTGATAATGTACTGGTAGCCCAAGACTGTATTAAGATGTTGAGAGGCAAGTAATCTCAGCCCGGTGAGTAAGAAAACACATTTTGTTGCTGTACTAATTATAAAAGAAATAGACTTGGTTTTAAATAGACCTGTAAATAGACCTCCATTATCCTGTGGGTTGTTGTTGTATTTGTTTCAGTAAGTGGCTTCTTGGCTTTTCAGGGCATAGCTGGTTGGTAGAGTCTCATGTCTCAAACTATGGAGTCTGTGAGTATTCTCAGGTAAGTGATATATGTCAGTCTATAGACCTGAAGCACCACAAAGAGACGCGTAAGTGAAGGAGACCCCTTTAGAACGGGAAAGTTTTTTTCTTAACTCTTATTTGAATTTTTTTTGTGTATAGGTGACATTTATTTGCATTACATTTTAAGAAGTGTAGTTATTGTGTTGAATTGAATTTACAGTTAAACCGGTTATTGTACATGAGCTAGACAACATTCAGGGTTCCCATGGACACGGAAAAATCTGAGAATTTTAAATATTTTTTTTTTCTTGAGAAGTGAGAACTGGTAAAATTATAATAAAATACTGGAAACCAAGTTATTGTTTCTCATGGTGTTTTGCCAGTGCAAAAATTCATTAATTTCTTGCAAAAAAAGAGAGAAAAAAAGGAACCTAGTTTAACTTGCATTGTTTACTTTGCAAAAGGTGGTGATAAAATTATGAATGATTTAAATCTGATCATCATAATTTGATTTTGTGGGCATGATATTCCATAATTCAAAATGACTACTGATGGTCTAACACAAACACATAAAATGTCCCCCTCACAATGACATATGATCACAGATGTTCGTAATTTCCGTTTCATGTCGACTTCAAACTAGAAAATTAAGCTTTCAAATATTTAATGAGTTAAATATTCTTTGTGACCATTTCTTTAATCAGGATAAAACCATATATTAAATGCTAACATAAGCGGTAGCATTTACACATAACAGCATATCTAGAAGAATGAGACAACAAACAAAAAAACATAGGCCTACCATTAAAAGCTGGCTTGCACAGGTTCTGCAAGATCCTCTTCAATAATATCCTCTGCTTCTCAATCGGGCTCAAACTGATAAGCGATATTAATGACGCCGTTGTTTACAATACAACCGGAGCACATGCCGCTGAGGTGAGGGGCGGGACGTTTAGACACGCACTAGAGGCGGTTTAGCCAATCCCAACACACTGGGCTAGCTAACCAATCAGAGCCTATCGCCTGTTTCTGAGGGCGGTGCTTCTTAAAAACAGGAAAAGATCAGCCCGTTTCTCAGAGAAGGGACAGACCGGTGTGGAATAAAGGTAAATGTGAAAAATAATGCGTTTTTTTAAAAACTAAGCATTAACACATGTTAGACTGCACCCCACAGGGGCGTCGATTACGCGGGGGATGCCGGGGACGTGTCCTCCCCACTTTTAATATCACATAAATTCGTCCCCCGCACTTTTTCGGGCAAGTGTGTTCGCATAGAGGTTTTCAAGAGCCGGTGTGAATAAATATAGATTTAAATTCAAAGAGACTGTCACGCTGTGGCTGCGCCAGGGAACAGGCAGGACGACGAGGATAACGGATACAATAAACTTTTAATACTTAGACAAGAGGGTAGGAGCACACGCACAAGGTAATATTCACAATAACTGACAACACTAGGATACAAGAGACAGGAACTTATAGAGCAGATAATGAGGGGCAGATAGGTGAACACAATGAGGTGATTAACTAATAATGGGAACAGGAACAACCAAATAAGGACACAGAGGGAGAAACCATAATCGACAGTCCACAGGGGTGTGACAGATCGCCCCCCTCCCGGAAGAGCCACGGAGAACCTCCAGGGTGGATCCGGGAACCATGGCGGAGCAGAGGACACGTGAGGCCATAGCGGAGCAGGGACCTCGGGAGGCCACGGCGGAGCAGGATACTCGGGGAGGCCATGGCGGAGCCGGATACTCAGGAGGCCACGGCAGATCAGGGACCTCGGGAGGCCACGGCGGATCAGGAACCTCGGGAG